ATGGAGCAGACAGAGAAGGATGATTTGGCATTCAACACCCCCGCTGGGACAGGTGAAGACCTCTCTGCGCTGGAAGGAACACCCATGTGACATGCCGGAGACAGATAAATACTCACCATTGAGGGCCCAGCATGGAGGGGACGGTGCCACTGGTGAGGGGAGGGAGCACTTCGTCTTCAGAGACCCAGGTCAGCATTGGGAAAGTCTGGCATGTGGTAGGTAGCATGGCCCTGCCTGCCTCCTGTGCTGGGGTATAGAGAAGCTGCGTCTAGAGGAACCAGGGTATTGGGCAGCTCACAAGGCCAAGAATGGGATCCAGAAGATCATGGCCGAGAGCCAGTTCCAAGAACTGGGCCGTGCCCCTCCTCTGGGCTCCCTCGGCACCTGGGCCTACTTACCATATTGGAAGTGTGATTCTATTGATGTCTCAGTCAGCCCATCGATGATGAGTTCCTAGCGGCTGGGATCTTAATGATCTCTGAGCCCCTGGTGCCCAGCAGGGTACTCGGCACAGAGTAAGTGCTCAGTAAACCTGTGTTGAACGGACAGGGGACTCAATGTGGAGTCCTCTGCAGCATGAGTCAGACAGAGCTCCTTGCTGGAATCCGTTGAATTTAAGATTCAGAGAACCAGGCAGCCAGTTTATGAGCATTCTGTCAGTGCTGTTTGCCAACGAAGGAAAAGGTCCACAACCCTGCACAGGGCTCAGTCATGGAACAAGAAGGAAGGAGCAAACCTCTTGGATACTGCCTAATTCTTAGTCTTTAAATGCACCAAGCTTCCCCCACTGGCAACTCAGTCACCCCTGAGAGCTTCCGGGCTGCTGTGCCTGTGCTGTCCCCACCCTGATGGTCTCCAGATGGCTCTAGGATGGCTCCCAGAATCTGCGTGTGGCTCCTCTGTGTGGAGACAGATTTAAACAGCCTTCTCGAGCTCACTAGCCTTTCCACATGACTCATGGCTCTATAAGCTTCCTCGCTTTCATCATCCACAGCTCCAGGTCAGAGATGCTCTTGCTGCAAGCCCAGGCCCTCGAACTCCTACCAAGGGAAGAAGATTCACACCTGGGCCATTCTTCACATGGACTCAGCTCTGAGGTGCTAATGACCCCGGGGGCAAAATGGTGCAGAGAAGGAAGTAACTAGCTGTGAAAAAGGCACTGGCCAGGCTGACACCACAGGAGGCCAACTAGCAGCCAGTGTATCCAGGTTCTGGAGAACTTGAGTCCAATCTGAGTTGGTGTTTTCTGGTGATGAGGCCTAGCAGTAGGTGTCCCCAGGCAGGGGTCATGTTCAGGTGGCTTCATGGGGCTAGACAGGTGCATCTGAAGCAGGTTATGGACTCGCAGCCAAGAGGCCTACAGCAGGGCCCATCCCCAGGGAAGGTGCTGGCATAGGTCAGGCAACTTGGTTGGGCCCCAGTGCTACTCAGAGGACTTAAAACAGCAAAAGAAGCTTCAGACCAGACACACATTCTGGTGCCTGCAGGAAGGGAGGGAGGTTTGCAGGGTCTTCTGCAGAATGGGACTGGGATAGACTGGGACTATTGTATTGTAAAGCCCCAGACAGGATCATTATTACAATCTGTCTCATTGTCCCAGCCCATTGACCACTCAGGTGAGAAAGAAGTGGATCCCTAACCCCAACTCTAACTTTGCCAGTTCACATTTGCTAGGAGATTTAGTCCCGGCTCAAGTGTCCCCTGTAGTCTTCCCTTTTGGACCTTGTCGGCTACCTCCCTTTTGCATTAAAAACAAAAGAACTCTAAATCAAGTTTTCTTACAGAGGACTTGTTAAGAGAGTAAAATAAGAAAGATGAGATGCACTGGGAAGGTGTGGCAGAGATTGGCTAACTGCTCTTTAAACCTATTTCCTCTTATTCTTGAGAGAAACTTGGTCACGTGTCCCAGCCTCCTTTGCAGTTAGTGTGACCTTGTGGTTGCGTTCCAGCCAAAGGAGTAGGAGTGGGAGTGAAGCAGCTGCTCCCAGGGCTAACCCATAGAATCTTTCATTTGTGATCCTCTGTGGACACCATGCAAAAAATAATCCTCCAACAAGGGCAACCCAAAGAGGCTGTTGTGCCACTCAGTTTTATGATTGCAGTGATAAATGGGAATTTGGAGGTGTCGGAGGTGGAGAGGAGGCTGTTAGGGACTGGGAAAGCAACTGTAGAGAGTCTTCGAGCAGGGAAGCTAAAAGAGGCAGGAGTATAACTGCCGTCCTCTGTTTGGACTCCATCCAAAGAGGGTAAGGGACACCAGCCAAGTGAGGAGGTCCCAGGAGCAGAATTTGGCAGGAGCAGGGGAGCCTCTGATCGTTGGCGGCTCTTGCTTTATCTCACACAGCAGGCTGCTCTCTAATGGTTGGCTGTGGGAATAGTAACAGGTTCCCCTGGGTCCTGGGAGGGCCTAGCAAACGTGTCCCTATCATGGTGAACACACAGGAGAAAAAAGCCTGCAATCCTCATACCATACATCTGCTTTGACTTCTCACTTATCATTAGCTGGAGATTTACAATTATCTCCTCAGAATATTATGTTACATTCCTGAAATAGAGGTACTAGAAGTTCACATGATAGAAACTGGATGTAATTTTTCCATAGAAATGATATAATAAGATTATGATTCTAGCCAAGATCTGATACACTATTTATAGAAACAATCAGAAATTGCATGGTGACCAACGTGTCAATGAGAAAAGATACCTGTACCCTGCACGGTGTAGAGCTTTCTAAGGTGACTATAAATCAGTCAAGTAGGACAATGCAGTCACCAATCATATTAAATCTCTAAAAAATGTATGTGAGAGGTTTCCTGGGCATAGGAAGCAGAGAGGCCCTTGGGCTCAGGGCAGCACCCAGATACCGCAGTGTGTTGGCAGGAGTTGTTAGAGCAAATCATGCAGGTCACACAAGTTAACCATGTCATGCCAGGTTGACTGGAGACCCCAGCCGTCAGGATTCCGGACACCCTGATGAAACACGCATAGGCTTTAGAACACTAATCAAAGGGCTTTAGAACCCTGGGTCACCCAGCGGTCAAATAGGCCCCTAAGCATGGATGACATTCTCTTCACGTTCTCTTGGCCTACACGTGGTTAGTGGCTGAGCTTGGGCTTCATCGTTGGCCAGATCCTGGAATTTTGTATCCCTGGAATCACAAGAGGCCAAACTCAGAGGCCCAAGACCATCTTAAAATCCCCTCTCCCACACCAGCCTCCCCAGACAACACCCTCTTCATGAAACTGAGAAACCAGGACACTTGTAATGAAAAGGAAATCCAAATGACATCAACTTGTGGCTCCTTCTTTTGCTCTGTTGTGAATATCTCTTTTCCATCGAACTCCACTGGAACATCTGTGGGCTTTGTGCTCCTTATCCTGGTACCAAGGGATTTTGCCATGAAGGGGAGTTAGAAAAGCATATCTGGCATTCTTCAGGTAAAAGCGGCCTATGACTTGCGTGTAACAAAGTTGTACCACAGCAATACCCAGCATCCCAATGGTGCTTCAACCTAGCACTTCATGCAGTTGCAAAATCTTAGAGAAGAAAATAACATGAGACTCATTTATTCAAGTTCACCCAATGGATTTCCCCAGCCCTTCCAGAACATATTGATAACAGCAATGATGTATTTGGGAGCATGAATAGCACATATTGTGAGAAGGGACAGCCTGGAGCTGTAGGTCTGTTGTTAAATTGATTTCTTTTAGACCCAATTTCCTGATATACAGGCCAGTGGGCTCATGTGAAATGCTTGGCTAGAAGGAGGCTCATTTAACAACTTCTCAGCCAAGCAAAGGAGACTTTGCTGCAGGTCCAGGAGGATCTCAGGCCCTAACAAGGAGGAGACGGTGCCCATTTTCAGAGGACTGGTAAATGTTGAGATAGGGTCAGTCATTTTCACTGCAGTTCCTTGCTCAAGCCTGCAGGATCTTTGGAAACCTATGGAGAAAGGCCCTCCCTGCCACGTGGCCGGAGGATCTGGGAGGACAGAGCGAAGTGGTCAAAGGACCTTAAAGTGCCAGCCTCTCACTGACGAGCAGGGAAAGCGAATCCGGGAAGCTCATCACCACCCCTGCTCCTCCCTCCCCGACTGAACAGAGTGACAGTCGCATTCTCCTTGTGTGATGGTTGTGATGGAGTGAGATGGAAGGACATCACCAGACGCTGGCTGTGAAATAAGCCCCTTGGAAATCCATTGGAAACGCTGCAGGTGGCTCCCGAGGAAGTTTGGGTGCTCACAGCCTCTGGAGGGACAGGCATGGGCAGGGTGAGTGTGATAAGTCATTGCGGGGGTGTGGGGGTGCGGGCACGGACTTCACAGGCGATTTGCATCAGTTCCTGTACTCCTGTGCTGTCTGTTCTTGGAATTCCCAAGTTGACCTTTTCTGTAGCAAATAGTAGCTGAAATGAGAGGGAAGAAGAAAGTGAAATGCCCAGGGATAAGAGGAAAAGAGAAATTAGGCTTGCTAACTTGAATTCTGAATGATTTTTAGGTCCCAGGGAGGCTATGTTCCTTTGACTCTTTAAGCACAAGTTACAGCTGCCCTCAGAACAGCCCCACTTTTCCTCCCCACCCCCACCCCCAGACCTCTCACTGTCAGCTCTGTCCACATATTGCTTCTTGCCCCAACCCTCTTCCAGGATGATGGAAGAACCGAGAGGAGAGACTGGGGTGGTGTCGGGGAGAGAGGAGACACGGCCAGCTGTGCAGTCAGGCCAGAAATCATCCTGCCGAGATTGGCACTCCCCCTCGCCAGCACGAGAAACTTGGGTTAGCACAGTACACGCACCTTGAACCAGAGAGACTTCAGAGAATCTCAGCCCCAAACGAGGAAGGGTCCATCCATGTCAGGAGAGCTTGGCACTTGACCCAAGTCCCTCTTCTCAGTGGCCAAGGCACCCCAGGCTCAAAGCTGTGGTGACACTCCGGGCTGGCACATGGGTCCTGGGCATTGTGACCTCAGCTGTTCCGCACACAGAGAGGTGGTCATCCTGCCCTCACCTTGGCCTGTAATCTGCATAGGACAGTGGCCTGGTCACGGGGGCCCATTGTGGGGAGGTCGGGAAGTTGAAGAACACTCTGGCCTCCTCCATCATGTTGGCCAAGAAGGCAGAACTGAAGAAAACAAACCTGGTAAAGGAGAAACATTGCTAGGCCACATGGGGCCTCTGAGCTCCCCTCTCTGAGCATGGAGATGTGAGGCTGGGAGGGAGGGGCTTCAGAGAACGCCCCAGGAATCCTCAGCTTTTCTTTCTCTGTTCCGAGCATGAAGTAGCCTCTCAGCCTGGAAGGAGGGTGGGATTAATCCCTGCCCTTGGGGCGGGAAGGAAAGAGGCCACTGCTGACTCCCTCTGGGACAAAGAGCACTGTAATGCCCCACCCCATCCCCATACTCCCGGAGCCAAGACCCCCCGCCAGGCCTGTGCCTGGCCCGCACCTAACAGGCGTGTCTAAGGCGCTAAGAACACTATTAGGTAAATGTAATCATCAGCCCCAGTTTACAGATGAGGAAATGGAGGCTCAGAGAGACTAAATAACTTGCCCAAGTTGACACAGCTAGTAAGGAGGACAGCTGAGACTGGAACCCAAGTCTGTCCCCAAACCTGTGCTCCTGAAATAATACTTATACGGCTCCTTTGGTTACCTTAAAGTGCTTCCCTGCCCAGGCCCCCCAGCGGGGAGAGGGCTGCCTGCTGGACTGGCAGGTGGACGCTCATAAGAAGAGTATAATGTGACCGAATTTGACTCGTCTTGACTCGGGTGCTGGGGGGTATGGGGGCCTGAGCTCAAGCACAGTTGGATGAGAAGGGTTGGTGGGGGTCCTCTTGCAAGGGCCGGGGCTTACCCTCCCCAGCCCTGATGCTTGGCAGGCTGAATCACAACCTCTTCTCTCCACAGAGCAAGAACTATAAGACAGTTTGCCTGGAACTGAAGCCAGAGCCGACCAAAGTGAGAAGCTTTTTTGAGGCCATGCCGGCAGCCAGGCCTGAGACCTGTGGGCAGGTGACTTGGACTCAGGGGTCGTTTGCTGTTCCTGGTGGCCAAGACCTTTCCCAGGTGCTGGGGGATATACTGAGAGACAAGCTCTCTACTCTCATACAGCTTCACACTAGTAACTCATCAGATACATACACAAACACGGAAAAATTCAGTAGTGTTACCTGCTACGCAGACAATTAAAATAGGGAAACATGACTGGGTGGCTGCTGTAGATTGGGTGGTGGGGAAAGGCCTGCCTTTGAGCTCTCAGCTCAAAGACACCAGCAACTCAAAGGCTGAGGAAGAGCTTTGTGGGCGGGGAAGCAGCTCGTGCAGAGGGCCTGAGGCTGGATGAGCCTGGCTGCTCAGCACACTGAGAGTGGAGGCCCAGGGGGCCGGGAGGGGAGTGCAGATGAGTTCAGAGACAGAGGAGCGGGATGTGGGAACCTGCTGCGCAGGTGGGGCCACCAGCTTTCACCTCTCTGTCTTGGCCCAAAGAGAGGAACAGAAACTCCTCTGCCTCATCCACCCCACACCTGCAATTTCTCATATTCTGTGTTTCTGGTTTCAATCAACAGACATATGACTACAAAGGAGCTAAACAAGAAGGGCCGTTTACCAAACCAGGAGGGACACAGGAGCTAAAGGTAGGTGTGCAAACGCAGGTGTGTGAACACAGGTGTCCAACCCCCCAGAGGCTGCAGCAGCACAGTGGAGAGGTGGAGGCCACTGAACAACCTCTGTGGCTCATAAACTGCTGGCATATACGGCTCTGCTCCAGCCCCTGTGGCTTCATTCCATCTGGTTCTTTCTTTGTCTTTTTTTAACTATTTGTTTTGAAATAATTTCAGACTTACAGAAAAGTTTCAAAAAATGGTACAGTAAATTCTGTACAGTGACTTCTGCACCCTTCACCCAGATTCACCCAATGTTGGCATTTTATCATGGTTCTCTCTCTCTCTCTCTATATATATATATTCACACACACATATATAATATACATATTTCCTGAACCATTTGAGAGCATGTTTCTCTCTCAAATTTCAGAGTATATTTCCTAAAAACAGGAACACTCTCTTACATAGCCACAGTACAATTATCAAAATATCAAAATCAGGAGATTAACGTTGACAAAGCACTCACCTATAGCCCTTATTCTAATTTCACCGATTATCCACTAATGTCTTTCATAACAAAAGTAAAAAACTTTTTTGGTTAGATCCCATCCAGGATCACACATTACATCTAGTGTCTGTGTCTCTTGAGTCTCCTTTCATCTGGAACAGTTCTTCAACCTTTGTCTTTTGGGACATTGCCATTTTTGAAGATTACAGATCATTTATTTTGTAGAATGACCCTTAATTTGGGTTGTCTGATGCTGCCTCATGGTTAGATTTAGGCTGTGCGTTTTGGGGGTCATGTCACAGAAGTGAAGGTGTGTCCTTCCCAGTGCATCAGATCAGGAGGCACATGATGTCTAGGTGTCCTACCATCCTATTTTCTTGACACTTCCTTTCCTTCCTCCCTAATGGGAGGTATCTCTCTGTTCCTCTTTTGTCAATGCCCCAAGATCTTTCCTTTCCTCCTTTTGAAAGTTTCCCTTCCATCCAAGACTTTTGCTTTACTGTCTCTTCCCTATTTATTTCCTCAGAATGAACTCAGGGAGGTGAGGGAAGAGCTCAAGGAAAAAATGGAGGAGATAAAACAGGTAAGAGGATGAGATTTTTCCTAACTTGGAGGAAAAGGGTAGCTTCGAGGAAAATGCAATACCAAACTTTGAATAGCAAAGGAAATAGGAAACTGCATGGAAAAAGCAATCAAACTGACTCAGCCTGAATCCCCTAGAGTGTTTGTGTTGAGCAACTTAGGATATCTATTTCTTGTTTGATGCTTAAATCCAACTTTCCAATGATAAGGACTCTCTGAGGTGTCTCATTGATAAGGCTGAGGAGATATAACCTTAGTGACAGAATGAGAGCGGCTGACTTGGAATTTGGGGGCAGTCAGGGACCAGTTCCGTTCTCCTTTTCACCTCCCCTGAGCAAGCTGCAGAGCAAGAATTCTCTTCTTGTTTCTTTGATGGAACCACCTATAGCACACTTATAAAGAAAGGAAATGCTCAAGCAAGAAGGTGTAATTGAAGCTGTGGCCTGAGCTCCACATGGGAGCCTTGCAATAGCCAGATCTAAGTTGTGCCAAGGCTGGTGGTGGTGATGACTTGATGGTACATGCCCCCTAGTCCCTTCATTGACTCCTGGGGAGAAAGTGGCTTTAATAGGCCGTTATTAGTCCATTCCTTGAGCTTTATCCAGCTCATTCCAGAGGAGCAGCTGTTGCCCTTTGCTTAAAATTTCCCAAAGACGACTCCACAACTGTCTTCAGTAATACGCACTGTGCCTTTCTTCCACATTAGATAAAGGATGTAATGGACAAGGATTTTGATAAACTCCAGGAATTCGTGGAGATTATGAAGGTAAGCATTTACTGAGTGCCTTCCATGGGCCAGTACCATACTGGGAATTAGGCAAGAGAAGCCAGACCCTGCCCTGCAGGTGCTTACAATCTAGTAGGAGAGAATTAAATAACAAGCACCAAGCTAAATGATAACTGGCAGTCAGTTAATTAGGGATTTAGAGAAGTGAGTCATACATGTGGGCTGGGGTAGCCAGAAAAGTCCTTATAGAGAAAGTGAGTCTTATGTGAGCCTTGAAGGCTGCATTGCAAGCTTAACACAAACCTCACCAAAAGCCCAATAAGATTATTTTGGACTCAACAATTACTGAGAGGATCGTCTAGATTCTAGAATAGTGGTTCTCAGGCTCGGTGTGTTTCAGAATCACCGGGAGCACTAATATGGAAAGCAGAGCCCAGGTCCTGTGTGGATGGGGCTTGCACCCTAGGATTTTCTTTCACATTCCTCAGGTGAAAGTTTGAGAAGTGGTTTATTTATTTATGCTTCTACATCAATGGTGATGTAGGAGCATAAATAGGAAAAAGCAGATAGCTACAAATTTTTTAAGAGTTGTAAGGGTGCACTTACCCCTACCAGATATTAAAATTCATAATAAAGCCACAATAGTCTTGTCTAGATAACCAGACAGATAAACAAAACCAGGGTAGGTAACCCTGTAACAGCCTCTCAGCCAGGAATACACTGAGAATCACTTTTGAGGATTTTTAAAATCCACAGACCCAGCCCTGGCCCAGATGAACTGAATAAAAATCTCTAGGATGGGGCACAATTGCTTAAAACTCGGCAAGTGATTCTGATGCTTGCCCCTGGATGAGAACCAGATCCCAAACACCGTGGAAGTAGTTATTAACCTTGGCTGCACATTGGAATCGCCTGTACCGTGGCTTTGACCTGCCCCCTCCACCCCCCTTATCCCAGGCTGCATCCCATAACAATTAAATCATAACCTCTTGAGATGAGGTCCAGGCATCAGTAGTTTTTAAAGATCCCCAGGGAGATTCCATCGTACACTCAGGGGTGGGAACCACAGCTCTATAAAATTTAAAATATGATAAAGATGATTTTTTACATGTCAGTGAGAAGGAAAAGATTATGTAATAATATTAAGAACATTGCTTGACTATATGAGGAAAAAACAATTTGGTTTGTTAACACTATAAACTGAGATAGTCTATAAAGTTAATTTAAATAATAAAAACCAATACGAAGAAATTATACGTAAATATTTAACTGGATGGTCTAAATATAAATACCGTGGGAAAAATCACAAAGGAAATATTGATATATTTAACAATATAAAAATTATAACAGAAAAGCACCATATACAGAATTAAAAGGCAAACAACAGTTTTGGGGAAACAATTTTCTGCAAATAGACACAGACAAAAGGTTTTTATCTGTAACATATAAAGCTCACACAAATCAATAAGAACCAAATAGAAAAATGGGCAAAGGGTATGAACAGACAATCCACAGAAGAGAATATAACTAAAAAGCAATAAATATATTTAAAACGTTTACCTCATGAATAATCAAATAAATGCAAATGAGAACAATACTTAGATAACTGTCACATTCCAAGAAGCAAAGTTTTAAATTATGACAATCAGAGAATGAGATAGGAATGCTCTTATACTGCTGATCAGAGCGCAAGTTTGTACAAAACTAGATAGGAATTAGACAATAGGTATCAAAACTGCTTGACTTATCAGTTCCACTTGTCAGAATTTAACCTATGAGAACAATCAGAAATGCCAGCATGGGTATATACAAAAAGATGTTCATCACAGGATTATTGATCATAGAAAAAATTTGGAAACAACCACAATTTTCAACAGTAAAGGAATAGCCAAATAAATGATAGTATATCCATATAATGAAAATTAGGAACTATCAGAGACAGTGTTTAAAAAGAATGCCTATAATGAGAAGTAAAAAAGCAAGATACGAGTAGTATATATGGGCTGATCTCAACTATGTGAATAAACAATAGGTAAGTAAATATATAGAAAAAAGACAGGAAAGAAATATACCAGAAGGGTTAATAGCAATTATTGCTAGGTGATGAGATTAATTTTTTCTTTTATATTCCTCTGTATTGTCCAAATTTCCTACAAAAGGCATGCATTATTTCTATATTAAACAATATGCAAACACAGGAAGCATTTTGTTAGTGAGTAGGACTGGGTAACAAAAGGCACAAAGGAGGCTATTTTGGGCGCGGGAACAGCTCGCGCACAGCGTGGAAGCAGGCTGAACGTGAGGCGGATCACGGTCAGCAGGGAGATCAGTCATAAAAGTGAGATCATTGGGGGAAACAGAGAGAAGTAAAACGGAGCGGGCACAAAGGCGGTGGATAATGAAGGCTTTTGCAAGACAGGCAGACAGGTTGGGACTTGGCTGTGTAAGCAGTAAGAGGCCTCTAGAGATTCTTAATCAAAGAACATGCTAGGAGCAGCACTTCAGAAAGCTGAGCCGGCAGCTGTTTGCAAGGCGGCCTGGGGGCGCCGGGAGAGCAGGCAGGGGCCGTCAGGAGCAAGCATATCAGACAGGAAGCCGCCTCCTGGCTCAAGGTGAAGAAAGCTGGACCAGGTGGAGGAACAGAAGGAAAAGGGTAAATCTGAAAGATGCATCGAAGGAAAAACAACATTCTTGGTGATTAATTCAATATAGAGAATGGAGGAGAAGCAGGCAGCCACAATGACACCAAAGTTTTAATCTGGAAGATTAGAAGAAAGTGGTGACATTGACAAGGCTAGTTAGGAAACAGTTAATTTAGAAGAGAAAGTGAGGTCCGTTTGGGACACCACGAGTTTGAAGTGATGGTGAGACTTGTAAGAATATGGGACATTTTGACTCTGATTTCTTGGACCCAGGGGACATTTTTACTTCAAGGATATTTTTACTCTATTTATGAATACAAATATTTTATTCAAAACTTATACTAATATTTAAAAATCTTTTCAAGAAGGTATTTTTTGAAATCATCTCCACCCAGACAGTATAATTCTTTGATTAATTTTCTACCACAGATCAGTAAACTGTTTCCAAATCTTTCATTTTTTATTAAAATTATTTTCCTTGAAGCAAATTATTTTTCATTTATATTTTATGATGTTCAATCCAACCCGGTTTTTGTCCATAACAAACATTGTCAATGATAATGTCTGCCATCTTAGAATTTCTTTTGCAAACACTATTTCTATCCAATTTCCCAGGTCAAATTTTATAGATCTAAACTTTGCCAAGAAGATTTTATTATTCTTTTAGTTCTTAGTAAATAATAAACGAGGTGCCATTTGAGCTACTGTCAGTTTTTTGTTGTGTTGACCATTTCTGCCAGGAATTGGGTACAAGGTGGAGCAAACACAAATACACAGGATCGGGGTGCATAGCCGGGGTTAAAACATCGGAGTCAGAAGCGTCTTTGGGGGTCACAAGATTTGTTTTCTTGGTTCCATCATTGTAGAGACATTGAACCAAGGCAGATAATGGTTTCATCCAAGTGTGAAATCAAGTAAAAGATTTCCTGGCCTCGGACTCACCTGGCGACTTCGGACAAAGCCCTAATGACTCTGCCTGTGCTTCTGCCTCATCATGGAATGGGGGAGGGGAAAAAGAGAGATGGTGCGTGTCCCACACACACCAGAAGCCACCTCACCTAAGGCCGGTGAGGACTCTTGAGGAAGTAAGATGCTGAGGTGATCTCTGAGTGGTTTGCAGAGAGAGGCAGGAGAAAGGGATTTCAAAGGCTCTTCAAGATGATGATTCTAGCTTTGGATTCTCTCTTGAAGGAAATGCAGAAGGATATGGATGAGAAGATGGATGTTTTAATAAATATACAGAACAGCAAGCAGTAAGTGTAACCTGCACCCATCTCTCTTCACCCCCAAAGAATCTCCTCCCTTCCCTTTGCTAAATGTTCCTTGGGGTTCAGAGGACTCGCACACTCTTCCAGGAGCTGTCTTGTTTTCTATTGCCCCAATGGCTTGGAGTCAAAGGCTTCCGTGGCCACCTGTGCTACAGGTTATCTCCTTGTCATGTTAGAAATTATCTCCCCAACTCTGCCCCTCGCTGACTCCCCAGTCCCCTTAGAAGAGGACCAAAGGAGCAGCAGGAACTCAGGCTCATGGGAAAGACTGACCCACAGCTTCGGCTCAAGAAAATGCACGAAGCTGACGGAGCACCGCTGGCTCTTCACAAGAATGTGGCACTACAGAAACCAAAACAGGACCCGCTGGATTGCCTCCATCAATGTGAGACCTGCTGCGTAAGTGAAGCCCCACCGCCCTCCACCAGTGCTACACCCCTGGGCTCCTGCTCCTCCCTGCCTTCCCCTGGGCTCTCTGGCTCCCTTATCTCTTGCTGTAAAGGGACTGGTTCCACCCCTCTGCTGGCCCCAGGATGCCTCCCTAGCCTGGAGCCCTCTCTGGGGTCTTGTCCTCTAGGCCTGGGGAGATTCCTCCGCCATGACCAAGTAGGACTCAACCCTGGATGTGCCTGCTCACCAGCACCCCTGTACTGTTCTGTCCTCTCCTATAGCAAGACCTGCTGAGGTGCCCAGCAGGCTGGCCATCTTGGACCAGGGAAAAATGACCTTTCTTGTGCCGTTTCTGTCCTCTGCAGGAGAAATGTATGTTGTGTGCCCTAAAGAGCAACTACAATCAGGGGTAGGTAGATCCATACAAGAAATGTCTCCATCGGGCACCCCACCTCCACCAAAGGCAGTGTGCTCAGGCTGCATCCGCATCGAATCCCACCTGTGGTTGTGCAGAGTCTGCCCCCACCACATCCACTCAGTCTTAGAGGACGCGGCACCCGGAAGGGGAACGGGGTAGCCCGGCCTGGAGGCTGCTGTCTAGAGGCTCCTGTGGAGGGGAGGTGCCTTCCCAGCTGCTGACCTGACCTTGCCTCAGGTTCTTGCCTCTCTCCCCATCTGGCAGGAAACTTCCACACCAGGCCTGGGCGCCCTTTTCACCCTTGGCATCTGGAGCTGCCTTCTGATTTACCTGTGCTTCAACCTCTGTGCAACTGGGGACATGCTTCCAACCTAGCGCCGCCTCAGAACCCACTCGCAGCTCCGGCTCATCCTCTCCCCACTCCCGGAGCGGCACACTGAAGCCTTGCTGCCCTCTTTCCTACCACCCGCCCCAGGCCTTTCTCTACCCGGAGATTAAAATCTTCATTTAAAGCCAAAGCGAGTATCATCATTTTGAATATCAGCCCTAAACCTGAGTGTGCAGAGTGTCACTTTTTTTAGTTCTAAATCAGCATATTTCAGACTCCAATCCCTCCTCCTATTCCTAATGGGTTAGTGGGAAATTCTATCTTGGTCATCCTCAGGGTCATCCCCATCCCCTCCACCTCACTGCCTCCCTCCACTGCACCTGATTCTGCAAAGGTCCCAGGTCAAAACAGATGGGAGGCCCTGAGGACATCAGATGCCATTCTGTGTGGTTGCAGGAGAGACCCCCCCACTGCCCTATGCACCTGCTCCCTCCATGTTCTCAGCTCCTGCACTGAATGTGGGGGGATGTCTTGGCAATGCAGGGAACCCCCAGGCCCAGGGTCTAGTCGGCACTGCTTCCCTCTGAGGTCTTGTCAGCAGAACTCAGGTCCCCACTGCTCATAGGAACTTGGTCCCTTTCTGGGGCTCCGAGGACCCACCCTCCTTATCCTCTCAAAGGTGTCCTCTCCCGCTACCCAAAAGGAGACATATCACTTCAGAGGCCTTAGGTCCTTACAAAGGTGGGGCTGAGCCATGACCTCCCCCTGCTCGACTCTGTGACCTGTTCCAGATGCCCTACTGAGGGAAGACAAAGCTTGGCTATGAGCTTGAAATGAGAGTAAAGAAAGATACAGAGAAAACAGTATTTCAGTAGACTATCTGGCCATGAGTGTGATTCTTTGGCTTCAGTTCAACGGAGAGGATTTAATGGGATTCCATATTTTATTTCACACCAGCTCTTTCTTATTTCATCTCTTTGCTAGATTGGCTGCTTCGACTTTTAGGCAGTCTAGTAAATAACTGATCAAGTTCTTAATGGCTACATAGTAAGGAGCAATATATTGGGGGCTTCAGATATACATTTAAAAAACAAACAAAGTATAGGCCTTGCCCTCAAGGAGCTTGTAGTTTTAAAGGAGAGATGGTAAACCTGTATATTAAAAATATGGACCATACAGTAGTTCCCCCTCATCCGCGGTTTTGCTTTCCACGGTTTCAGTTACCTGCAGTCAACTGCGGTCCAGAAGCAGATGATCCTCCTTCTGACGTATGCTCAGAAGGTCAATAGAAACCTAACACTATGTCACAATGCCTACATCATTCACCTCACTTCATCTCATCACTAGGCATTGTATCATCTCACATCACCACAAGAAGGGTGAGTACAGTACAATAAGATATTTTGAGAGAGAGACCACATTCACATAACTTTTATTACAGTATATTGTTATAATTTTTCTATTATTAGTTATTGTTATTAATCTCTTACTGTGCCTAATTTAAACTTTATCATAGGTATGTATGTATAGGAAAAAACATAGTATACCTAGGGTTCAGTACAATCTGTGGTTTCAGGCATCCACTGGGGGTCTTGAAATGTATCCCCTGCAGATAATAGAGGACTACTGTATATAAATAAGTACAATAATCATAGGCATGTGATAAAAGCAGAAATGGATTAGGGGTGGGAAAAAGAAGAAGGGGATGTATAACCCTCTATTAGTTTCCTATTGCTGCTGTAACAGATTACCACACTTTTAATGGCTTAAGACAACAAAATTGGTCCAAAATTGGTCTCACTACGCTAAAACCAAGGTGTCGGCAGGTCTGCGTTGCTTCTGGAGGCTCTAGGGGAGAATCTGTTTCCTTGCCTTTTTCAGCTTCTAGAGGCTGCCTGCATTCCTTGGCTCATGGCCCCTTTCCACGTTCAAAGACAGCAATGGCCAGTCGAGTCTTCCCCGTTCTGCATCACTCTGACACTGGTTCTTCTGCCTCCTGCTTCCACTTTTTTTTTCTTTTTTTGGTGAGGAAGATTGGCCCTGAGCTAACATCTGTGCCAATCTTCCTCCGCTTTGTATGTGGGACGCTGCCATAGCCTGACTTGATGAGCAGTGTGTAGGTCTGTGCCCAGGATCCGAATCTGTGAACCCTGGGCTGCCAAAGTGGAGCACACAAACTTAAGCACTATGCCACCAGGCCAGCCCCCTCCTGCTTCCACTTTTAAGGACTCTTGTGATTACATTGGGCCCACCTGGATAATCCAGGCTACTCTCCTTATTTTAAGGTCAACTGCTGAGCAAACTTACTTCCCCTTCACCATGTGACATAACATGTTCACAACTTCTGGAGATTAGAACATGGACATCTTCGGGGGCTACTATTCTGCCTACCACAGAGGACTCCCCAGACCCTGCCCCTTGACGAGGAAACCTCCAAACACCTGGGAACACTGCACTGTTCAGTTCTGTGCTCTGGTGGTTTTTAAAAAGGCCCACAAATTCTTTGATGATACTCTTTTTTTCAAGAGGAGCCTAATTCCTCTCCGCTTGAGTGTGGGCTAGACATAGTCACTTGCTTCTTTTTTTTTTTATTTTTTTATTTTTATTTTTTTTTAAAGATTTTATTTATTCATTTTTTCCCCCCAAAGCCCCAGTAGATAGTTGTATGTCATAGGTTCACATCCTTCTAGTTGCTGTACGTGGGACTCAGCCTCGCGTTGGACGGAGAAGTGGTGCCTCGGGGCGCGCCTGGGATCCGAACCCCGGCCGCCAGCATCAGAGCGCGCGCACTTAACCGCCAAGCCACGGAGCCGGCCCGTCACTTGCTTCTAATGAATAGAATATGGCAGAAGAGATGGTGTATTAATTCTGAGACTAAGTCATAAAAGACACGTGGCTTCCATCTTGCTCTCTCTTGGACGCTCATTCTGGGCGAAGCTCGCTGCCATGACATGAGGACACCTAAGCAGTCCTACAGAAAGGGTCACATGGCAAGGAACTGAAGCCTCCTGCCAACAGCCATGTGAGGAGTCATCCTCCGGCCCCACTCGAGCCTTGAGATGACTGTTGCCCCGCTGGTACATTGACTGCAACCCCATGAGACGCCCTGAGCCAGAACCACCCAGTTAGGCTTCTCCCAAATTCCTGACCTGCAGAAACTGAAACAATAAATGCTTGTTGGTTTAAATTGCTAGGTTTTGAGGTAACTGGTTATGCAGCAGTAGATAATACATGTGCACATCTACTGTTCATTTTTTTTAAAGACTTCAAAAGTTGAGGCATAAAGTATATGGTTATATGCACAAAGTACAGCTTGGTGAATTTTTATATATGCACATCACTGACATCGTAATAGAACATTTATTTATAGGACATTTCCAGAACCTCTTCCCAATTCATATCTACCCCCCACCCAGGTTACCACTATTCTAATTTCTGCTCTACGTATTATTTTGCCTGTTGTTGAACTTGATCTAAGTGGAATCATATATGTATGCTTTTGTGTCAAAATTTCTTTTGTTCAAAATTATGTCTGTGCAATTCGTGCATATTGTTTTATGTATAGCAGTAGTTCATTGTTTTTTAATTGTTATGCAGTTTCTTTTTTATGAATACACTATAATTTATCCACTCTCCCATTGGTGGCCCAGATGATTCTTTAAAATAGGCTAAGTAAAAGCAATTTTCCCACTGCCCTCTGTGTGTTTGCCTGTCTTTAAACACCTTCTCTGGCCCATGGTGCCCTGCGAGTCACTTTACCTCTTTTTTTTTTTTTCCCCAACAAAAAAATATTTGCTTTATTAAACTGAAGAACACTTAACCCCTAATAGACCAAATTACGTTGTCTGCCGTCAGGGAGGCGGCTGGTACAAAGTTCAGAAATTAAAATGAGTTGTATTGTGCTTTATTCCCTGCTGTGACTGTGGAAGTACACACCTGGTACGTCCTCAGTCACCCTTACAGTCCTTGCAACCACCTGAAAATCAAACGTGTGGTTCTTCTGTGGTCTGCTACCTTCCAGGGAAGCAGGAACCCAGACCTGCCCACTAAACTGCTGACCCACCGACAGCCCTGCCTGCTGCTCTTTTTTTCTTTTCCCCGGTTTTATTGAGATATAACTGGCATTTATTGTTGTTAGTACCCTACAGTCGATTCCAACTCCTAGCGACCCTGCGTATAGCAGAGCGAAACCCTGCCCATCTTTTTGCGCCATCCTCTCACCTTCTGACGCTGTATCAGACAGTGCTTTGCTGCTATTCTTTGGGTTTTCATGGCCAATTTTTTGGAAGTGGGTGGCCAGGTCCTTCTTCCTAGTCTGTCTTAGTCTGGAAGCTCCGCTGAAACCAGTCCACCATGGGTGACCCTGCTGGTATTTGAAATACCAGTGGCGTAGCTTTCAGCATCACAGCAACACACAGCCGCCACAGTATGACAACCGACAGACGGGTGGTGTGGTTCCCTGACCGGGAAACAAACCGGGGCTGCGGCGGTGAGAGCACCGAATCTTAAACACCAGACTAATAATTGACATACAGCACTGTAGAAGTCTAAGGTGTGCAGCATAATGATTTGAGTTACATATAGCATGAAATGATCATCACAATGTTTAGTTAACATCCATCATCTTATATAAATACAAAAAGAAAAAGAAAAAAAATTGTTTTCCTTTGTGATGAGAACTCTTGGGATTTCCTCTCTTAACAGCTTTCCTATATGGCGTCCAGCAGTGTTGCCTATGGTTGTCAGGTTGTACCTTACATCCCCAGGACTTATTTATCTTATAACTGGAAGTTGGTACTTTTGACCCCCTTCCTCCAATCCCCCCCGACACTTTGCTTCCTCTTCACGGAGGAGCACCTTTGAGGCCCGCTCTGCGTCATCACCCCTGCTCTGCTTAGCCTCCGCCCTGCTTTTCCCTTGAAGCTGCTCCCCTGAGGGAAGCCAGTCACCTCCTGGCAGCTGGTTCCATGGCCCTTCCTCAGTCCTCATTCTTCTGGCTTTAGTTCCTGCTTTTGGCCCTGGGGATTAATGCTCCTGGGGTTCTCGGCTTCCTGGACTGCTGCTTTTCCCACCCCAACTTTTCCTTTTGT